TATTTATTTATTATTATATTTATTAACTTACTATCAATAATTTGACGAAGTATAAGAATTCGGAAAGACTTTTTATAAATATCATCTTGCCCTGTCCAATTCAATTTTTTTTCTACTTCCCTTTTTGCTGCTACTCCCTTTACCTTAAAAAAAAGCTGTTACCACTAGTAAAACAATTTAGTTCATTTTTTTATTAGCATTAGTTATAATTCATTAAATGTTTTGCAATAGGCTACAAGTTAGTAGTAAAAATACCTTAATCACGAGAGGTAATTATGATCACATTTTCCAATCTTGTTCTACTTTTATTCAATACAAAGACAGGTGTCTTAATGCCAAATTAAAAATAAAGAAATTATAAAGAAATATAATTAAGGTTGAATAAATATATAGAGTAAAGGAAAATAAAGGTACGGGATGACGACAATAATGATGAGATCATATAAAATATAGCATAAAAAATACATATATATGATGAATTTTATTTAAATACATAAATTTAAAAACATAAATTTAAATAAAATTTTAGAATGCATTAACATTTAAGCAGCTCTGGTCATAGATCAGCAAATTAAATCAGTGAATTCTTGTGAGATATTATGCTGAGAAGATCAAAATGCTAAATCACCCTCTAGTTCATCTATTACAATACTCTTATCACTTTTATCTGAATCGTTATCAGATGAAGCTTCAAATTCACTAATTTTATTTTCAATTTGATAAGAAATATTGAGGTTATTATCCAGAGCAGCGGTATTGGAAGGTTCATTATCTGAAGTGTTTAATCCATGTTTTTTTGCAATTGCTTAAAACGACTGTTTTGGGTAAAGCGTCAATAGGCTGAGGCAAATAAAACCCAGTTTTACCTATGTAATCATAGTTATAGGCTTCATTAATAACCATTTCCCCTTGATTAGTTTCGGACAAATAAATAAATAAATAAATAAGAGTTAAAATAGTTTTAGCTTATCGCATTTTTTTTGATTTTGGTCCAATAGCTTATAACTAAAACCAAGCTTACTAAATATACAGGATGTGATATAATGAAATTATATACTTGAATGAAAAAATAAATATATTTTTCTCTACGTAAAATTTGCATCTACCTTAAAAACATATTGCGCCAGCATTTTTGTACCTTTGGCGAGTCATTAATTATACACTTATGGTCCGGCAATGGGTAGCCAGTTCTTGTTCACCAGCTAAAGCTTTTAACTGGATCACATGTGTTTGCCGGACCTGGCTCGCCAACTCTGGCCCAATATTGTACTGCTGATTGGGAAACGCATTTCGTAATCGAAAAAGTCAATCTGAGACTCGACCTTTGTCTTTTTTACCCATGCTTTTATTAACTCGTTTTCTCTGTTTGTATGTGATTATCAAGTCTTTCAATCAATTTTTGAGTTACTTCCTCAATATAGATTTTCTTCAAATTAAGCATACATACTCTTGCTTGATGACAATACAATATTAAATAATTAGTTTTGTGATAAGTGAAATAATTTAGTTAAATTTAATTAACTTTGTTTTTTGTATGAAAAAAAATCAAAATAATTTTTAAAATAATTTTATTAACTGTTTTTATTTTTATACGAGTGTTTTGCATATTAGATAAGGCGTTGACTTCGTAAACGGAATGTCTGCGGATCGAAACCCGGATCTTCTTAAACTTTTTTTTTTTACACGCATACAACTGAATGTTAATGTAATAAAACAGTATTATCAGAAAAAATTAATTTCAAAGTTAGTGTTTTAATACAAAAGCATTGGGTTTTTTAATTCGTTTTTAAATTTACTTGTTATTTGATTTAATTTGCACACGATTTTTTAACTTTTAAAGTCAATATCTTATAATAGAAAAAAAATGTAAGTGATTTATATTTATTAAAAAAATATGTCTTTGCAAGAGCTATAAGCTGCTCCTGTAAACCATTTGTCAGAAAGCAAGAGCTAAAGCTCTCGCTTCCCACCATGACTCTATATATATATATATAAAGCCTTGGTGGAAGCGAGAGCTTTAGCATCGCTTTCCATCAAGGCAATGTCCCCTTTTTGAAATTTTTGAGTTTTTATTATTTTTTAAACAAGCATATTTTAATTTAATTAAAAAGTGAATAAACCGTCTTTGTGAATAAACAGTCTTTCAAAAAGAGAATAAAATAAATCATAACGAAATAGAATAATTGGTAATGTCCTGTTTTGCACTTGAAACAAACTGCGTATTCCATAGTTTTTATATTTTACAAAACCATGTGATTCCTAAAAACCGCAAGTATTGGCTGGATAAAGAATAGCCGAAAAAAGTAAACAGAGAACAAAATGGCTTGTAATTATAGTACTGTGGTTACAGAAAAATCAAGTAAAAGAAAGAATATTGTTAGTTTAAAAAATAGAAAAAAAGATACACAATTTATTGAGCCACTTTGTAGCTGCAGACTGTTGTCAAATTGTATTTGACTTTGTTTTAAAATAATTAGTGAGGAAATAAACAAGTTTATTAAGAACTCTAATAAATATATATCCAAAAAATGTCAAGATGCGTTCTTACTCACATTTATAAAAATTCAAAATATTACCAGAAGAAGACCACAACAGGAAGCAGATAAAACTTGCTTTGTCAAACTAGAAAATTTGTTAAAAACTGTTTCCTAAAACAAATTACCTATTAAACACGTTCTTTTTATAAATAATTATTTTCTCAGTTTTAATATAAAACTGCGTGGGTCATGTGTCTAAACAAAAACAGTAAAATGTAGATCATTCGATGGAGGGTTGTAGTTCGGGTAAGCAATTTATCAATTTAAAAAAAAAATTAAAATCAACGGAGAAAAATTTTTCCTTTCCAGCAAACATTTAAACTAAAAGAATGACGTCTTAAATATGTGTTTTAGACGTGTTTGACGTTTTTTTTATATCTAAATGATACTAAAATCATATCTGTTATAAAAGAACATAATGATCTAACTAATATGCAAAATGACATTGATTTGTTAACTGAATGGTCAAATGTATGGTTAATGGACTTTAACATAAATAAATGCAGTGTTATGCACATTGGAAGAAAAAATATTAACTATAACTACACTATAAAGCACAACAATCAAAGTTTTCTTCTAAAAACAACAACAAAAGAACTAGACTTGGGTGTAATAGTTTCATACAATATGAAATGGAATCATCAGGTTCAAGTAGCTACAAGTAGAGCACAAAGAATGTTTAATAAGAAAAAGCTTTACTTATCTTAACACTGAAATGGTAAGGCAACTATACACATCGTTGGTTAGACCACACTTGGAATTCGCAGCTCCAGTGTGGAGTCCAAGTAATAAAAACAATATCAATGATCTAGAAAAAATTCAAAGACGAGCAACAATGCTACCCCCTGAACTAAAACATCTAAGTTATACGGAAAGATTGACAAATTTGGGCCGCACAACTCTGGAAACAAGACGTATAAGAGGAGATCTCATTGCTTTCTTTAAATTAACAACTGGGATTGACAAGATACTATGGTATAAAGAGCCTAATAAAGCTTGTTCCCAGAGACTTCGAGGTCATCCAATGAAATTTGAAAGAGAATTTGCAAAAACAACACCGAGACATAATTTTTTTACGAACAGAGTGATACCTCATTGGAATGCTTTACCTGAAAAAGTGGTTTCTGCAATGACAGTAAATTCTTTTAAAGCTAGACTAGATAAATATTTGTTAACGGCTGTTAAAGTATAAATTTTAAACTTTATACTCCGCGACAATCGTCGTTACAGCAGTTTGTATTACTATTACTAAAATACGTCTTTTATAGACTTAATGTTTGCTGGGTTATGTCTACATCATATAAATTTGTTTGTTCTTTTTAATTAAGTTAGTAAATGTCAACATAAAGTTTTTTTTAATATATTGTAAAAGACCAAAAAAATGTTTTTAAACCAAATATAATTATTAGAAATCTCATTTCTGATTAGTCTTATTTTAAACTTTATAAAAAAAAATATGAAATAAAGTGTATATATATATATATATACATACATATATATATATATATATATATATATATATATATATATATATATATATATATATATATATATATATATATATATATATATATATATATATATATATATATATATATATATATATATATATATATATATATATATACATATATATATATATATATATATATATATATATATATATATATATATATATATATATATATATATATATATATATATATATATATATATATATATATATATATATATATATGTATGTATCCGTTGCGCAGTGGTAGCACACTTGCTTCAGAAATGTAAGATCCGTGGCTCAAACCCCACCTCTGGGCAAGTTTTGCGACATCGGTTGGGAAGGAGGCGTGAACTTCCTATTAAATGCTCTTCCACGGTGCTCTGTGATAAGACCGTAAGGACTTTTTGGGGCATCATAATCAACTTAAAAAATATATATCTATATATATATATTTTTATATATATATTATATATTTTTATATATATATATATATGTATATATATATATATATATATATATATATATATATATATATATATATATATATATATATATATATATATATATATATATATATATATATATATATATATCATATATATATATATATAAAAATATATAATATATATATAAAAATATATATATATAGATATATATTTTTTAAGGTGATTATGATGCCCCAAAAAGTCCTTACGGTCTTATCACAGAGCACCGCGGAAGAGCATTTAATAGGAAGTTCACGCCTCCTTCCCAACCGATGTCGCAAAACTTGCCCAGAGGTGGGGTTTGAGCCACGGATCTTACATTTCTGAAGCAAGTGTGCTACCACTGCGCAACGGCTGCTCAACTTTTTTATATATTGCAATTAGTAAAAAATTATAGCTTTACAGTCTCTAGAACATAAACTTTCACATTTTAAGAAGTTTAAGTTTAAATTTTTTATTAGAAAAATCTTTATTTTGATTGAGATAATGTGTTTTCATAAAAGTAACTGAACGTTTATTTTTAGGTTTTTAACGCAAAAAATTACTTCGTGAAATTCATTGTTATTGTTCACAAGATTCACTTTTAAAGTATTAAAGTATTCTATGTAATGGCAGGTGTTGTTATAATATTACATCAAACATTGTATTGTAAATATTTTCAATTGAAGTAAATATAATTTTATACTCATTTTTAAACTTGATAGTTTTTAATTTAAAGACTAAAACATAACGCTTTGCATTTAAATAGTTTAAATTTGTACTAGAAAAAAAATATTTACTTTAAAAGAGACAATAAAATGAGTTTTCATTATTCTATTAGATGTTCTGCGCGAAGAATTAGTCCAAGAAATTCAGCGCTATTTTTTAAAAGATACAAAGAAGTCGACTGTTGTATTATATGGAATGTCAGGTGTCGGAAAGACAAAAATTGCCAGAAGATATTGTAAAGTGTATCATAACTTCTATAAAAACTTTGTTTGGGTAGACGCAGCATTCGGAAAGTTACAGATTTCAATGATAAACCATTGTCAGTTATTAGAACTTATTATTCAGGATTCGAAAGGCGAATATTTTAAAATAGAAGTGATTGTTGAAAAAGTTCATAACTATTATAAAAATGAAAAGACTTTGTATGTTTTTGACAATGTCGACGACGAAAGTGTTAAAACTTTGAACACGTACATATCAAAAAATTTTAATTCTTTTAACTTGATTACATCGCAATGGAGAACGTGGTCTTGTAATGTAAATGCAATGCTTATCGATGTGTTTTCTTTTGAAGAAGCATTCGCTTATATAAAAAATAATATTGTAATAAAATGTACCGGTGAAAACATAAAAAACTTAATTAAAGAACTTGGTTATCATCCGTTCGCTATAACTCAGGCTATAAAATATATAAATATACATAAAATTTCAATAGAAAAATATATAGATCGTTATAGATTAAAACCCTTAGAAATATTAGACACTAGTATTTTTCAAACTGATGACGAACCAAAGTCTGCAATAAAAGCAATCAATTTAGTATTATTCAAATTGCAAAAAACTAATAGTTTTTTATTTCAAATACTGAACTGTTTATCGCATTGCGATGTTCAAAATATCAGTAAAGAATTGATAATCAAAATTTCAAATCACATGGAAGTAAACGATAAACATTTAATAGATGAAGCCATTGGATTACTAATAAGTTATTCTTTATTAAACTGTTTTGATAACAAAAAATATTCCATACACGAACTGACACTAATGACGTGTAGATATTTTCAAAGTAGAAGTTCAAGTACAAATACGTATCTTGATTTAATCATAAGTTATTTTAAATTTGAGTTAATTAATGTAATCGATCACGTGGATTACGGAAACTATTTTGTTTTTCATTTTCTTTATATGTTTTGTATTAATCAAGAGATAATGTCAAAAACCTTTCACCAAATGACAACTGTTATTAATAAATTATTATTACGTAAAGGTTTATTTAATGAAGCAATCGATATATTAAAAGCTGTTCAAAGTTTTAATACAAAAACTTATGGTGAAGAAAATAAACACACGCTAGATACAAAGTATAGTATTGCACACTGCTTGTACAAAATGGGAAAATATAATGAAGCTTTAGAAATTAATAAATCTGTTAATATAGTGCGAACTAAAAATTTAGGTAACAACCATACAGATACAATGGCAACAAAAAATAATATCGCAATCTGTTTGTATGCTATGGGAGAATATAAAAAAGCTTTAAAAATTTTCAATTCCGTTGATAAAACAGGGACTGAAATTTTAGGTATCGACCATCGAGATACAATGGCAACAAAAAATAATATTGCACTTTGTTTGAACAATATGGGAAAATATAACGAAGCTTTAGAAATTCATTACTCTGTTTATAATATACGTACTAAAATTTTAGGTTTCGAACATCCAGATACAATGAGAACAAAAAATAATATCGCAAGCTGTGTGTACGCTATGGGAAAATATAACGAAGCTTTAGAAATTTTCTATTCCTTTGATAAAAGAGAAACTGAAATTTTAGGGATAACCCATACATCTACCATGACAACTAAAAACAATATTGCAGCCTGTTTGTATGGAATAGGAAAATATAACGAAGCTTTATATATTTATTATTCTCTTGATAAAATACAAACTGAAATTTTCGGTAATAAGGATTTGTCTTCAATTAATACTAAACACAATATCGCATTATGCTTGTACAAAATGGAAAACTTGACAAAGCTTTAAAAATTAATTATTCTGTTGAAAAAATAAAAACTGAAATTTTAGGCATTAATCATCCGTCTACAATTAAAACAAAACATAATATCGCAAGCTGTTTAAGCGAATTGGAAAAATACGACAAAGCTTTGGAAATTTGTAATCATATTTGTGAAATACAAACTAAAATTTTAGGTATTCACCATCCGTCTACAAAGCTAACAAAGAAAAATATCAAAACATGTTTCAGGAATAAAAGTAAATCGAGTTGTTTGATTTATTAGGTTTTGTTATTCTGTTGATAAAATATAATTTTACTGACGCCTTTTTTTTCTAAGTAACGAAGGGACGTAATTTTTATTTTTTTTAATGTGAAAGAGAATTTCATGGGTGCTCGGTAAATCAAATATATAAACTTTTTCTATTAGACTTTTTATGTACCAAATTTACTAAGTAATCTTCAAAAAATTATTTTAATTAGCTTTAGTAAATAATTCATTTCGGTAAATTAACAATATTTCAAATAGTAATACAAAAATCCAAAAATTGTTAAATCTATTAATTTAGACCGGTACTGTAAAATGCGTAACTGTATTAAAAAGCGGTTAAAGAATTAATAAAGTTACAAGTAAATAGTCGTGTTTTTTTTAATAAAAGTCATGTTTTTTAATCAAGTACCACATACATTGTTACTAAGTAAAATAGTTAGCCTTTTTTTATTATTATTGAAACCGTAGTCGTTCAGACAAACTAAATAAGTTATTATACGCAATCGCAGTTAAATTTGCATATTTTAAGAGTTTCAAAAATGGCTACGGATACCGAATGTAAAAAGATTCATATTGACAACGAGATACATTTTCTAATTTTTGGCCATTAAATATGTGTTAAACTGTTTATTAAAAGGAAGATATTGAAAAAAGTAACCTCTAGTACATAATGCAATGATTTAAATAAATAAAAAACATCTCAAAAGTAATAAAATGTAGTTTCAGAAATAATTACTTTGGTGTGTTTTCCCTACCGGCACATCTAGTTTCTTTTTCAGAAATAAAAGCTATATAGGCACGTGTTTTTCACGAACCAGGCGTAAACCAAAAGCACGTGTATATTACGGGCAGTTTTACTAGAGTTTAAAACGAGTTATTTGAGGTTTTAAAGTCAAATTTAAATGTCGCATGTTTTTATCAGTGGTTTCACATTCCTTAAGGTAAGTTATTACAATATAATACTACGTTTCCGTAACGGTGAAACCATTAATACTTTAACTGGTATTTATGGTAAATAGTAATAGTTAATTTCACGGAATAAAAACCATTTTTGATACGTATTATTCTTTTTGTTTTAGAAGGTTATAAAAACGCAAAAGAAACCACGCATAACTATTTCCTGAGTTGTGCCGGCTGGGTTGCCTATTGTTTTCAAATCCTTTTTTTTAAATAAAATTTCAGAAAAAGATAAAATTACAAAAAAAAAAACTCTTCTACGTTCACGTAGAAGAATTTTATTTTTTTTAATTTTATCTTTTTCTGAAATGTTTACTTATATTAATAATCAATTTTTTTTCTAGAATGAAAGATAATATTTTAATATTAACTGTTGTAAGCTGCTGCTAGACTCTCTATATTCAATATATATACATATATATATATATATATATATATATATATATATATATATATATATATATATATATATATATATATATATATATATATATATATATATATATATTTAAATATATATATGTATATATATATATATATATATTTATATATATATGTATATATATATATATTTATATATATATATATGTATATATATATATATATATATACATATATATATATATATATATATATATATATATATATATTTATATATATATGTATATATATATATTTATATATATATATATAGTTAGTTAGTTAGTTAGTAGTAAACGCTGTAACTGGCAGAGCCAGCGAGTGTGTTATCAGGCACACTTTGACAGCCAAAATGATCGCTTGCTGCTCATCCAGCAATCAATCGCTGCTTTAAAGTTATTGATTGAAAGCGATTTAACAATTTCTTCTGGCAGAGAGTTCCATAAATTCGCTACTCGATTAAGGAAGAAGTTTTCTCTGTGCTTATGTTTGGTAATTTCCTTAGAAATTTTAAAGCAGTGACCTCGTGTACGATTGTTAACTATTGGAAAACGAATGCCTTTTTCTAGTTTATCAATATTATTCATAATTTTATACATTTGTATTAGATCTCCTCTTTGTCTCCTTTCACTAGTGTAGTTTAGTTTAACTCTTCGATTCTATTTGTATAGGAAAGATTTTTAATTGATGATACTAGTTTAGTAGCTTTGTGCTGGATTCTTTCGATATAGTCACAATCTGATTTAAGAAATAGAGACCATACCGGAACTGCAAACTCCAGTAATGGACGAACAAAAGTAATATAAAGCATACGAAGTAACTTATAATCGAAACAAACAAATGATTTTTTGATACAACCAAGCATTTGATTTGCTTTGTTAGAAGCATTAATCACTTGATTTTTCCATTTTAGGTTTGTATTAAAAAGTACTCCCAGATCTCTTTCTGTATCTGACTCCGTTAATTGAATACTGTTTAAATTATATAAATAGTTTTTGTTATTGTGGCCATAATGCATAACTACACATTTTGATATGTTAAACAGAAGAAGCCAAGTTTGAGACCATTTGTGGACAGTATCTAGATCCCTTTGAAGATTAGTAGCGCATAGCTCTGATGATAATTGAGACAGCAGTTTTGTATCATCAGCATATAGTTTGGTTACATTAAGCAATTCGTTTGGAAGGTCGTTAATGTATAAAACAAACAAAAGTGCTGCAATTACCGAACCTTGTGGTACACCACTAAAAATCTTAACCCAGTCAGAAATGATATCACCTTGAACAACTCTTTGTCTTCTGTTTTCTAAGAAAGCTGCAATCCATTTAAGTAGCAGACCATCAAAGCCGTATGCTTTTAGTTTGGCTAACAGTCTCCTGTGCGGAACTGTATCAAAGGCTTTAGCAAAATCTAACAAAACTACATCAACTGGAATACCAACATCTAAGCTTGATGAAATGTAGTCAATGCTTTCTAAAAGATTAGTGGTACAAGGTTTGTTTCTAACGAAACCATGTTGCTCTTTTGTTAGCAGATTATTTTTATACAGGTACTCTTCCATTTTAGCTCTAATAATACTTTCTATAATTCTACATGGAACAGAAGTCAATGAAACTGGACGATAATTGCAGGGAAGAGTCTTATCACCTTTTTAAAAATAGGGGCGTTACGTTTGCTGATTTAAATTGAACTAGAAGTTGACTATTAGTTAAAGATGCCCTAAAAATTAATGTTAGAGGAGTTGCAAATGCTTCAGCACAGTTTTTGAGCAGAAATGGATGCATATTATCAGGACCACATGCTTTATTTTGATTAAGATTTTTTAATTTATCTAATATCATTTCGTAGCTGATATCATTTGGATGAGATCAACAAACTTTGAGTGATTTTCATTAAATTCAACTGTAAAATGTGGAAGATCCCCTTCCTTTTCATTTACGAAAACATCTTGGAAACATTTATTGAGAAGATTATCTCTTTAGGTTCCTGAGTTAGATTACCATTAGTTGTTTTTAAGGCTCTGATTGATTCTTTGACTAGTTGTTGGCTGTTTAGGTATTTATACAGAAGTTTCGGATTCGATTTGGATCTTTTAACTAAATCATTTTCATATGCAAGAAGAGCTATTTTAATTTCTTTTTTAACTAACTTGCAAGTCAATTTGTACTCTTTACACAAATTAAGATCTTTCCATTTACAAGCACAGTTCAGGTATCTTAGATTTTGCTTTTTTTAAATTAGAGTTTTAAGATCATTTTTTATCCATGGAGCAATTTGTTTTTTTATTCGAGATACATCAAGCACTGGAATGAATTGATTACATTTGAAAAGTGAATTAGTTTGTTGTACATTTCTTGTACAGATAAGGTTTCAAATAGCATTACCCAATCAACATTTGTAAAAAAGTCATAGATTTTATTGGTGTCAGCTTTTTTGTTATTAAACTTTAAGTGTGCGATAAGTTATTAACCTTATTTTTAATAATAAAATCGAAAAAGATGACCTTATGACCTTTATTTATGTTACCGAGGACAGATCTTGGATCAATAGCGCAGATGCTTCTCGGCTGAGTTGTGAAGATTAGGTCAAGAGTGTTAGTAGCAGAATTATTTGATATTTGAAATGTTGGAACATTAACATGCTGATACAGGAATGTTTTGCTAAGAGTTTCACTAAAGCTATGTTCAATGCCATTTTCCTTTTTAATGTTTGTGATGTAACCATTTGACCTTACGATTGATGGGAAATTAAAATCCCCTGTAATTAGTAAGTCTTTGTATCCTTTTTTATCAACATAGTCTTTAGTCTTTTTGATAACCAAATCAAAATCGTTCATATCAACAAAATCGTTAGGTCTGTAAATACAACCAACTAAATACTTGTTGTTTTCAAAGTATACTGTAGCCCAAATTTGTTCAATTTTACTCAAGTTAAAAACAGCATCGCTTAGCTCTACTGATTTAATACTTTCAGTAATATATAAACACACACCACCTCCTCTGTGCTTATCATCTCTGTCTCTTCTATACAGATTATAGCCATTTAGATTTACAACTGAGATGCTATTAAACCATGTTTCACTAACAGCTATTATTTGTGGATAGTACGTGTCTACTAATAGCTTAAATTCATCGAGTTTATTTTCTGAAGAGGTCGCATTTAAATAAATACATTTCAAAGCATTTAGATTATTCAAAGATAGTGGCTGAAAAGATTTTGTTAATTTAGTACTGTTGAGCTTTAATTTTGACGATCTGATTTCCACGAATGCCATATCGAAAGGGCGAGTCTTCAGCAAGTGTACTGTTTGCTTCGTTTCTTTTCTTTCTTAAATCGTAATCAAGTCTCCTTTGTGCTTCAGTTAAATTTGGACTTATGTAAATTGATTTGTAACCTTCTTTCTCTCTCAAATTTTTTGCTGCTAGAAGAAGTGGATTTCGTAATGAAGCATCACTTAGTTCAACAATTATTGGACCGGGTTTGTTTGTGTCTTTAGATTTAAGCCTTCTTGCATAAACTGAGGAAACATTGCTTTTTCCAACTACATTAAAAATCTCTTTGATTTTTTCGCCATCGTCTGCTTTTTTTTCTGCTAAAAATTCCATTTCGG